AATGCTGTTTGCGGATGATTTTGTCGGTATGTCGTACACCCCTGACGGACTGCAACTGCAAATTGACGCGGCGAAGAAGTTTACTGATAAGTGGAGATTGTCTGCCAACGTTCAGAAGAGTGCCGTCATGGTATACAACGAGAACAAGGAGGAACCAGTAGAACATAGATGGAAGTGGGGGATCGAGGAGATTGCAGTAGTGGACCAGTACACATACCTCGGAGTAGAGATCGCAAAAGACTGCTCGTGGAATGCACACATGTCCAAGGTAGCGGAAAAGGGCAAAGCACGAGCAGGGAAGCTGCACCCAATACTCGCAAACCGGCACCTCGATACACGCATCAAATTGACGGTTTTGAAGAGCGTAATCGTACCGCCGCTAGAGTACGCCGGAGAAGTATGGGAAGGAAATAAGAAGGTAGTGAAAGAGCTCGAGGCGGCGCAGATGAAAGCAGCGAAAATCATCCTAGGATGCTCCAGGCGCACAAGCAATGCAGCCGTCAGGGTAGAATGAATGATAGATGTACTTCTGGCAATGCCAAGTGGTTGGTGCTGGATGTTCCCATGGAATGACGTAGAGCGGAATACCGGGTGACATGTTTGGTACGTAAATGGATTCCTGGGATGTACAAGGTACCCCTGTTGTATACGGTGTCGCCCCCTCAACGGGACTTGTGTGCGTATTTTATTATCGGCTTGTGTGTGTATGTGGATGCAGCTAATCACAACAGGTTTTTCTCCTCGGCGCAAGCCCGCCGAGTTGCCGATACCCTATTCAACACGCGTCTTGCGACACGCTACCCCCAGTTCGGATTATCCTACACGCTAGCGAGTGTGATATCATACGGGATCCCGAGGTCGGGCTAGCTACAATGGGGTTCGGCCAGAGAACAGTGACACGGAAATCATGGAGCAGCAGCTGGATGAGCTCCAGCTCTCGGACGAGCAGCGAAACGTAATCGACGCTCTTATCAAGGAGCAGGTCAAGATCAAAGTAGAAGAAGCAGCACCAGCAGAGCGCCCCGCAACACAGAGCGAGGGCATGCCTTCCGAAGGAGGCGACACCCGGCTGGAGAGTCGGCTGGCTCGGAGTGAAGCCCGCGACCTGAAGGCCAGCCCCGATCGCCGGCGGACGTGAGCCTCATCGACACCCTCGCGCGGGCCTTGCAGAGGGTCAAGATAAAACGGGAGGATGAATACAGGGAAGTCCCAACCCCGACAGAAACAATACGGATTGGCGCAGTTATCACAATCCCTGCATTCACCGGGAAGTTTAGCCCCGAGGACGATGTACAGACGGCGGTAATGGTTGTTACCAGTCAATTTCGATCTTTGTTGGAGCAGGAGCGTTGCCTTGGGGCAGTAGAATCGAAGAACACGATTCGTGTAGGAAAGACGGATGCGAATATCTCGGCATGAAGGTGGAGCATGGGACGGAAGCTGTAGATCGGGCAGTTAAGGCTTGGCAGCTAATTATATCCAAGATACGAGTACCGACAATAGTCCCTGCAATCCTAGCTAGTGGTTGCCCCACTGAGTCGTGGGATCAATTTTTCAATTTTTTCTGAGTGCACGTAGAAACGGACAAGTTGGAGTTGCAGGGGCAGTGGTACTCGTTGAGGCAGCAAGTAGGGGAGGAGTCCCGGCGCTGTATCACAAGAGCATCAGTACTTCGCCAGGAACTAGAAGCGTACGGTTGGGTGTATTCCGATCATGATGCTGACGTCCACTATGTACGCAACCTTCTGCCCGATTTCAATGTGCAGAGGAGCGTGTTGTTGGCGCATTCGGAGGTCAAGACGGAATTGGTAGAGAAGGTGATTCTGACTGCTTGGGCGGAGACGGAGGCCGCTAGGAAGAGGGCGTCGGAGAGCGTGGGGGCGTATGCCCTCGTCACTGGCGGTGATAACCGTGGTGGCGGGGGCGGCAACATGGGGGTTAGGAGGAAAACGAGAGGACAACGGAGGATGGCAGCGCGGCAACAGCAGCAACAACCGCAACCCCGCACAACATGATGTACTCGACCACCATTCATTATGGTTACCGCCAAAAAAAAAAACCGGAGGCAAAAATAAAAAACGGTAAGCTGGTTGCCGAGTTCACGAAGTGAATTGGCTTGTTTTTCAACGTCNACCCAATCCCGATAGGCAAACACCGGAGGGGGGGGGGTGTACTCATAGTCGTGCATGCCGTAGTCGTTAGACCATTGACCTCGCATCCCTACAAAGCCGGGACGGAGCACGCCGGGTTCTCACCGGACCAGGCTCTGGGGGGGGCGGCTTGTTTTACAACGTCGTTGCCAAGCGACGAAAACCCAACCCCGATGGCAAACACCGAGGGTGGGGGCCGGGGTTTTTCTGGAGGAGAACGTCATTAGCAGCAGCCGGCAGGAGGAAGATTCGGGGGGCGTGGCGTCGCTTCCGGTGGGAGGGGCAGGGGCCCTTTCCACCAGGGACCGCCGGGTAGCAACCTCCCCGCCTACGCTGTACCTCAGCGGGGCTACGACTACAGCGCCTACCCCCCCCACATGTACCGCCTGCAGGGAAATGAACCGCCTATCCACCCGAATGACCCTCGCAAGCGGTGTGAGAACTGCGGTGAACTCGGCCACAACCACCTGTTCTGTCCTTCGCGTGTTGATGTTGGAAGGTCAGCTGGCATGCCGGCCGCCAATGCGCCGCCTAGGGCCCCACCGCCCCGGCCGCCGGCTGGTGGCTACAGCCAGCGGCCGCCGTGGGCCCACTCGTACGGGCAGGCCAACACCGCGCAGCAGTACCGCGGAGAAGGGGTAGAGCCAGGAGCAGTAGGAGCGACGGTGGCGACGACGGCAGCACCATCTGCGGGGGGGCATGCAGTGACGACGTGACTGGTGTTTATCAACCACCGGTGACGCACGCGAGCGGTGTGTACAAATACTCCCTCCAACAGCAGCAGCCGGAGTACCTATCCCCCCCCCTCCAACAGCAGCAGCCAGTCCCCGCCCCTTACGAATCTCCCGCGCGTTCGACCGGAGCACCTTCGTCGGCAGGGGGGACTTTGCATGCGTGTGTTGTAAGGGACATGTCAAGTGAGTACCAGAGTGAGATTTCGAGTGGATTCGAAGGGGGTGAGGGGTATGCCTTGATGAATTCTATACCGGTTGTGAGGGCGGAGCGTGTAGGAGTTGAAGAATGGCTTGCAGACTCCGGTGCCCCTAACCACACCACCGGATACCCCACGAACATGTACGATGTGATCATCCCGCCCCTTGGTAGCGAGAGAGTGCAGATCGGTGATGGCATGACGATGCGAGTGCTTGGAATCGGATGTTTAAACGTGAGATTTCACCTTGAAGGTAGAGACTTTTGAGTGAAGCTTACCCAGGTACGTCACGTAGAAGGAATGGGGTTCAACCTTTTCTCCCTCCATCAAGCACAGGGATTGCAACGTATTGCCTTGGACGACGTAGGTACCCATCTTTTCCATGGCCAATTGACCTTTCCCCGTGGCGAGAGAGGTTCGTCGCTTTGGGCCACACGCTTGCCGCCCAACTATGAAACGCCCACCGCTGTGCCTGTGATGCTTTTTCCGCCAGTGCCCCCTCCCCGCGCTGCTGGTGTACGTTTACATGCGAGTGATGGTAGAGTGATGCCAGAAACCCCACCGGTGTTTCCCCCCCCGTGTAGCATACGTTCCTTCCGCAGTGTCAGGTCTCCCGCCCGCTGAAAGCAGCGTAGTGCCTCCGGTGATGTCTGTACCTCATACAGCTCCCATGAGTGTTATTCAACCCACCGTGTCGAATTTTCCACCCGCTTCTGCCGGCGTCGTACCTCTTATGGTGTATGGTTTCCCGCCCGCTGCCAACAGCGTAGTGCCCTCTACTGTGCNGTGTAGCATACGTTCCTTCCGCAGTGTCAGGTCTCCCGCCCGCTGAAAGCAGCGTAGTGCCTCCGGTGATGTCTGTACCTCATACAGCTCCCATGAGTGTTATTCAACCCACCGTGTCGAATTTTCCACCCGCTTCTGCCGGCGTCGTACCTCTTATGGTGTATGGTTTCCCGCCCGCTGCCAACAGCGTAGTGCCCTCTACTGTGCCCGGTTTCCCGCCCGCTGCAAACAGCGTAGTGCCTTCTACTGTGCCCGGTTTCCCGCTCGCTGCAAACAGCGTAGTGTCATCAATTGTGTACAGTCTCCCGCCCGCTGCGAGCAGCGTCGTTCCTCCGGCAATGTATGTCCCCATCCCCGCTGACAGGAGTGTGGTGTTTCCTTCCGCTCCTCAGGTGCCGCATGGTATGGAGTTGGTAGCTGTTCCCGGGCTGCCTTCGCCCGACATCCTCCATTTTTCAGGAGAGTAATGACGATGATGACCGTGGATGCATTCCGTACACAGAGCAGGGAGATTACGAGTGGGCTGTGTACCTATTGGAACAAAGAGAGGTATCAGAAGACCCCTACGAGTTTTTTGACTTGATGTTTGAGGCTGAATTTGCAAATGTCTTCGATGATGTTGCTTTCGCTGTCCCCGTCATGGCCCCGGGTAAGCGCCCTTTTCGGTGGGGAAACCCACCAAGATTATTGACGTTGACCTTCTCCACGTTTCGTGCTCCCACGCCAATGAGTTTCTTTTGCGTGAGCTTGCGAAGCAGCACGGTCTCCGACTGACCGGTGTCCTGCAGCCTTGTGGTGGATGTCTGCAGGCGAAGGGGAAGAAGGCGGGCGTGCCTCACCAATCGGGCACGCGCGCGGAGCGGCCGCACGATCTTTGGCATACCGATATGCGTGGGCCGATGACCGCCTCGCTGGGGGGGTCGTTGTTCATGATCATGTTCGTAGACAGCTTCTCGCGGTGGATGAAGCTGAGGCGCAAGTCGGACACCCTCGCCTTCGTCAAGAAGTTCCTCGCCGACATGAGTGGCACCGGTGTCCCTCGTTCTTTCCGGATGGACAACGGGGGGGAGTTCGTCAGCCGCGACTTCATCGCCTTCTGCGACAACTCCGGCATCTGCCGTACGTACACGGCGCCGGGCACCCCGCAGCAGAATGGTCCGGCGGAGAGTGCGATCTGGCGCGTGAAAAAGGCCGGCCACGCCGCTCGTCTCGAGGCACGCCGCCTGTTCCTCAAGATCGACTTCACCCGCGTCCCCGGCGTCGGACGCGATGGCGAGCGACTTTGGCTGGAGTCGTGTCACTGGGCTGCCGGCGGCTTCAACCGTTCTCCGACCAAGGCAAACGTCGGGTACAAGTCGCCGCACGAGTTCTCCACCGGCCGCCCGCCCCCGCTCCAGATCGTCCCGTTCTTACAGCCGGGGTATATGCGTGTTATGCGCGCGCGGAAGATGGATCCCAATGCAGTGCTGTGCTGCTACCTCAACAACGGCGACAACCATCACGAGTCGGCGGTCAAGGTCCTCAAGTTCGCGACGGGGCGCGTGTGCATGACGAACAACGTCGTGTGGGTCTCCGACCGCGCGCCGTTGCTGACCCCGCCGCTGGAGATGCCGGCGCCGGCGGGCGAGGGGGGGGATTCGGATGTCGCCGCCGCATCGTTTTTAATAGAGTACATTTCACCGCCTCTGTTACCCCCCTCACCGTTCGCCCGATATCCCACTTCACCCGCTGCCATATCCTCACAGGCGCCGCCGGCAACTTCCACACCACCATCGCCGTCGCCGCCGTCTACCGCAGCAACACCATCGCCACCGGTCACCGCGCCGCCTGCGACCCCACCGTACACCACCACCGCGCCACGTGCAACGCCGCTCGCCGCCGCGCCACCGTTCACCACCACCGCGCCGCCTGCAACGCCGCTCGCCGCCGCGCCACCGTTCACCACCACCGCGCCGCCTGCAACGCCGTTTGCCGTCGTGCCACCGCCTCCCGCCGTCGTGCCGCCCGGTGCCGCGCCATCGACCAACATGCCGCCGCTCACTACGAGGACCATCCGTGAACTGGACGTGGGGCGCGGGGACATGAGGGTTTCCGGGCGCACGAGGGCAGCCGCTAAGGACCAAGTGGGGGGGCGGGCGTCGTCAATGCCGCCCCTCTCTGCCAGGGCCAATCGAGAGCTGGACTTGGGACGAGAGACGCGGGTGCCAGGGAGGTTGAGGGGTCGGGGGGTGCGTTTCCAGGATGGGGGGGGGGAGCGGTCGACGTCACCTGGCGGGAGCGGCGACTCTCCCGCCCACCACTTCGGGCTTGTATCCCTGCAGGATAAGGCAACGCTCTTGTCGACTTTCACCACTCGCAGCGTCGTCGACAGGGGGAGAAAAGAGATCCCGAGTTCAGCCGGAGGACGTGGAGGAGCGGAGTCGAGGGGGCGAGAGCGGGGGCGCACAAAAACAGGAGGACTGCGTGAAGAAGTCCCATTTGTGTGCCCCACCTTGCTTGCCTCCCGCGAGGACATTGATCGCACGATGAGGGATTCAAATCCCCCGGAAGTGGCACCGGACATGTCGTATTGCTATGCCAACGACTTGCGCGTGCCCAACACTTATAGGGAGGCTGTGTCCTCTGAGTATGCTGACTTGTGGGTAGACTCTGTAGAGAGGGAGTTCAGAGGTCTGATGGAGGCTGGTACCTTTGAGGAAGTAATGTAGCAACCAGAGAGTGTCGTCAAGGCCAAGTGGGTGGTTAACTGGAAATCTAATGAGTATGGATGGCCGACTTGTGTGAAATCACGGCTAGTAGCGAGAGGAGAAATGCAGCGAACACATGTAGATTGTGGAGAGACGTATGCACCGACGTAGCGGTTTCTAGCGTTCGCTTGTTGGCAGCGATGGCGTGTGAGCAAAATCTTTCTCGTCGTCATTTTGACTTCAAGCAAGCATTTGTCCAGTCGGATTTGGATGAGGATGTTTTCATGCGTCTGCCAGAGGGATGTGGTAGATTGTCAGGCATGATAGTGAAGTTGAACAAGAGTCTGTATGGCCTCAAGCAGGCATCAAGGCAATGGCATTCACACTTGGCGAGGCGTATGATTTGTTTGGGTTTTATTCAGTGTCTGGCGGATACGTGTGTGTTTCGGTTGATCGAGGAGGGAAGAGTGGTAGTGACTCTGGTTGTACATGTGGATGACATATTTACGATTGGAGAGGAAGGGTGTGTGACCAATTTGGTAGGGACCTCAAGACCATGGTACCGGTGAAGAATCTTGACTTGAGGTGGTACTCTGGATGTTTTTAGTTTTTATGAGAAGGATTGGGATGCAGGGACTTTGAAGATCTCGCAGCAGACGTACGCTGAAGAGTTGGGGATGGAGTTTGAGGTAGAGTGCGGGAAGGAAATTCCTCTTCCTGTAGGGTTGAAGCTTTCAGAGTTTGAACAGGATGAGGAAGTGGTATCATGGTCTTTTCGCGAGCTGATAGTATCACTGTTGTGGCTGGCAACGCCTACGAGGCTAGATATCGCGAATGCAGTAAGAGCGGCAGCACGGTATGTGCTTCTCCCAAAGAAATTCGTTGGAGAGCAGGTCTTGGTATTTTGGGGTATGTGGTAAAGGTGTGTCTTATCAGGCCAAAAAAATACGTATTTGGTTACGAAACCGTATTCTCTTGAAATATATGGAGGCGTTCCTCTACGTTTCCGTAAAAAGAGCAAGGCGTATTTTTTGGGGGCTTGCTCTTTTTACTGTTCGGTGAAAAATTTCCCGTTTTTTTTCCGACCACCGGAGCAGACACCGGTCACGCGTGCTGTCTTCATCACACCACACCTAGACAGCANTTTTTACTGTTCGGTGAAAAATTTCCCGTTTTTTTTCCGACCACCGGAGCAGACACCGGTCACGCGTGCTGTCTTCATCACACCACACCTAGACAGCACCA